TACCAAAAATTACAAAAATTCATTAAATCGAAATTTTATAATAAGAATTCCTTTGAAATATGCTTTTATCTAGTCGTCCGTTTTCTTTAAATACTTTATTTTAAGGAAAGAGATTAAAGCTTCAGTTATAAGAGGAAAATAATGTCGCAAATGTTTTCGATTTCTCCTGAAGTCTATATTTATTACGGAAATTATCTGAAATAAATGCCAATGTAAGTTTAGATAGTTATTTTGATGGCAGCAATGTGCAACATCTGAAAAATCATCCCTGTATTTTTCAATAAACATATCTTTAAATTTGTGTTATTTCAACAATTCAGTTGCATTGATACTTCGCTAGAAAATAAATATTACTAGAAATTCTGAAGTTAGTTCTTAATTTGTAACCACAACTTAAGCTCATTGTAACGACTCCCGGAAAACGTGTGTTAAGAAATCACACGCTTTAACAGAAATAGAATTAGTATGCTTTCATCAGCTATTTACGCCGGTGGCTGTAACGGAACGATCGTTGTGAAGAACTTCGAACATAAGTAAAAATCTAACAAATAATTTGTTGAAATAATTACTTACAAACTTTCCGCAATTTTTGATATAATAATTTTTTTTAAAACATCATAGAATTCAGAATTAATAAAGACTAAAAAAATGAAAAATAGTGTCTTATAACACGGAAAATATTCAACGAGCTTCCAAACCCTATCTGAATTCAAATAGCAAAATACAGCAACGGAAAAGTTATGATGTATAGAAATGGTTCTTTAAAATTATAATTTTTAGTTCATTGATGGTGTGATGGTTTAGTATAAGCATACTTTAAAAAGGAATCTGAAATCATTAACATGAAATCGTAACACGAAAAATCATCTTAAATTTTAACAGTGAGTCCAAGCATACGCTTACGGACATATGATCTGAAACTGCTCTTAAAATGCACTGGAAAACTCAAAATATATCTTAAGGTTTGATATTTAAACTTTAAAAATCATACTTGATAAGAACTGGAATATCGACACGAGAAAGGAAACATTTCTTTAAAATCACTATTGAAACTAACATCATAATATAAGTAAAGCAAAATTAGACCAGAAATACCATACACTTAAAGAAGGAAAAAAAGATGAATGCCGGTAAACTTACAGTTTTTAAATCGCTCAGTTTGTTTGGAAACTCAGTTACAGTTTAAATCATAAATTAAAGATCTTCTATCCCGATCACTGAAAACTAGCCGTTTGCCGCATAGATGATAACGATATAACAGCAGAGAATAAAGAAATAACAACAAACCAACAAACTCTGGAAGGATTTTGTTGAAGATGTTTCTATAACATCTTCAAGTCAAGTCGTATAAGTATAGTCAAGTCATTGAGGTTATTTTGTAATGCGTAATAATGAAAAAAAAAAAAAAAAAAAAAAAAAAAAAAAAAAATGGAGGAACATGATTAAGAAAAATTAACACGCGCAAAATAACAGTAATTAAAAATTTACTCGGTATTAGACTAATTTCGCTATTAAATACATGTCCTAATTTTATAAACAAGAATATTATATCGTTTAGATACATTACATATGGAATTAGAAACGCCATTTTTTTAATTGATGCAACTAGAGTAAATGTTTACAAAAAATATTAACTGAGCACATTAGTCAATATTAAAAGAAAATTTATAAGTACTTCATTAATAATGTTTAGAATTGTTCGCAACAGAATTATTTTTAAGTGACTTCATTTTTATACTGAAAAGAAAAAGGACAAATCTGAAATTAAAGTTGAATACTTTGTGTACTTCAAACCAAAGAAAGAAATTTTGTCTTCATAAATAAAATGACTCATTTTGAAGATTTTATAATAGTATCTCCAAAATATGATCTCTGAGAGTATGGAGAGAAGGCTATAAAACGGCGTTTCACTTTTAAAATTGTTGCTACAAAATATTAGAGCCCTGCATTATGTTTAAATAAATTAAATAATGAGGAATCTGCATGAGCGTATGAATGTTTCTCGCGCTGCGGAAAAACAACGGTACTTACAGCTATCAAATTTTGAATAACATAGTCCTCTATTCGAATATGGGCATCTGGAAGCCCAAATTCGGAAATATGAATTTGTTTTGTTTTCTATTTAGTATTTTGTTATACTTTAACGAAGTTTTGATTAACAAAGTCAACTATTTCTAAGCGAATAATGGCAACACTGTACCAAAAAAAAAATAATAATAATCTACAGCGCGGGAGACCATCTAGAGAAGACCAAATATGCTTTCCAAACGTGTATGAATGTGTAAATGAAAAAACACCTTTTTGGGCGTCATGTAAAATCTCAAAAGCTTTCAGTTTTTTTTTTTTTTTTTTTTTAATTTTGTATAATGTTGATGAATGTTGATATGTCATGTCGAACTTCGTGGCGTAGATCAGATGAGTCACTAATTTGCCATTAATGAACTTTAGCTGCAGAATATCATACACTTAACAGTAAAACAAACTTTGTTTTAATCAAGAAAAGTAATTAGCTCTTTAAGATGCCAAATCTTCAAACTGCCAATAAGTACGGTAGATAAGTCTCACATTTCATTTTTCACCATTCAGATTATTTCCTCTGAATTAATGAGTTTCCTTCTTAATGATATTTTATAAAATATAATTATAGTTATATTCATACAAAGCCAAGAAAATTTAAAAATAATCAGGAAAATTTTAATATAATTCTCTCTTTTATGGTAATGAATTTTAGAAAATATTTTCAACCTAAATTTAAATATTTCTTGTTATTAACTGAAATACGAACTAAATCCTGCGCATGTCACTGATAAATCCATTAAAATCCCTGTTTACATTTGTATTGCGGTCATATTAAATAAAGGCCTTTTTGTCAGTATCTGATATTTAACGAGAAAGAGCTTTTTCTACTAGATTCTAGTGCCACCTCTCAACAACTGTTACATCTTGTAACTTCTAAATATTCTTTGGCAAGGAAGCCTGTTGCACTTTTCTGAAAACCCTTTAAAGTTGTCTGCACGAATTTTACATATCGGACATTATTAATCCAAACTTGTTGTTGGGATTAGATTTGGTGTTCATCATTTTCAGATGATTTTTTGGTAGTTGTTCCTGCTACAGAAATGACTAAAAAGGTAACTACTGTATAATACGCACTAGGAATGGACAGATAAAAAAACTAACCTTGTAATGAATTTAATGAATCTTCTTATCCGCATTCCAAATTTAACGCTGGACATCTGTAGTGAGTTTAGTTTAACATTTTGTTCAATGCAGCGGCAAAATGTTATAGGTATCACAATATATTCCCCCTTTTAAGTGACAGTATCGAATACATTTTATTTTAAAATGAAATTACTGTACTCGTTAATCGTTCACTGATTTGTCCTTTTATTTTCTGCTTTTAAATTTCAAAAATATATTAGAATTTTTCTAAAGGAGTGCGATACTCCAGAATTCTAAAATAAATATATCCATATCTGCTTTGTGATTTGAATATATTTTTAACGCTTAAATATAGACTGAGACCTAGGTGCCTATATTTTTACTATAATGAGGTACTTGCTTTATCATTTGGACAAGATGTAATAAATATGAGAGTAATTGTTGTAAAACATCTTATTTCATAATTATTATGAAATACTCAAATCACATGAAACGATATTTTTTGCAAAGTTTAATTTTAAGATTAAATTTAAAACATACAAATTTCTGGACATAAAATTTTCGATCACCATTTAGACAGCGATATATTTTATACGCCAACTTAAATTTTTGAACAAAAAACTAAAAGACCCTAATTTGTGTCGCCTTCTTATATTCAATATTAAAAAATTATAATTTAACGTGTGTTTCAAATTAATTCGAAAGTACAATCTTAAGCAATTTTGAAGCTATAAATGCAATCAATACCTAACGTTGTGCACCGATCATTTTGAAATTAAGGCTGGCTTGGGATATTTATGCTTATGGCACTTGATTAAAAAAAATAAATTTACATTTAAAATTAATAAATAAAAGATTTTTTATTATTTTAGAAAGGATGTGATTAAGCGAGTCATACTGGTTTATAATTACGCAAAATCAAAGCCAAATCGGTATTTATAAACATGTTATACTTTCGGTGTGAAATAACAGGAATTCGAAAGGAAATATTTTAAAATGAAATGATTTTAAATGAAAATTGCCAGTGGCAATTTAAAATTAAAAAGATGCTGGGTTAACTCTTATAATATGACTCCATTGAATATTAGACGGACTTGCGTTTTGAAGATGTTTAACAAGAAAAAGAACGATTGTATATAATAACTTCACATCTATGAGATTGGTTAACTGAACGTGCTCTGTAGATAGGATCAATTAAAGGGTTCCGAGTTAATATCTGAGCCAAAACTACATAAATAATTTTAATTTTAAGGTAAAATACTCTTAATTATGAATATTTAATTTTAATGAAATTTTTATTTTATATTAAATAAATATTGTTTAAATTTTATTATCATTTATTAACTGATATATTTACTGTAAACTTTTCTTTGTGCACAATGAAATCTTTCACGGCGAGCGTCTCTCTAGGCTGATCATTTCTGAAAGTCACCAGCATTTCCTAGAACACAAATAAACACAAGTACTGAACATTACCTCTCCAAAGCGACCACCTCCACAAGTGACCCAAATTAAACATGAGCGGTCATCTTAAAGAGGTTATACACGTTAAGGCTCTTAAAGCATCTCATGAAGAAAAAAAAAAAAAAAAAAAAGAATAATGAAAGAAGACGATAAGGACTTACTGTAGTGATTCTCAAATTTTTTTTTTTACTTCCAGCACATAAGCTCACGTTCTATTCCAAAAACATTATTTTACACTTGCTTTCATTTACTTAAAAGTATCTTTGTTTTCGTCACGACACAGCTGAGTAATAATTTCAAGACATATTTTTTTGAGAATTCATTCTTCAGCTGAATGAAGCAGGGGAAAAAAAGGAACTTTCTGAGATACTCACCTTCTCTCGGCCTTTTTGGAGTGACCACTCTAAAAGCGCTGCCCATTTCTCCGAAATTCAACGGACTGTCCTTGACTCCGAGTGAGAGTCCGTCCGTCATGGCTCCGGCCGGACAGGGACGGTCGAATAGCCGTTACCCATCGCTAGACCCTCCCGGTCAGATGAAGAGCCGCCGCGAGAGATCACACCGCACTGTCCGCCCGTCGAGGAAGAAATAAAATCACGCGCCAAAAAAGACAGGGGGGAGGGGAGAAAGATCAAAGAAGTGGTGGGGGGAGAGAAAGGGACGGAACGCGGCGTGCGGTCGGAGCAAATGATCACTCAATAAATAAATAAATAATTGGGAAAAAAAGAGACAGAAAGTGCGAGGGAAAAAACGAGCGAACGATTATTATAATGAAGCGTAAGGCGAGCGACGGTTGCGCTGCACCGCCAATAACTCACTCGTTTTTACGGGCGGACATTGCGCGCGTGCCGCGCCTGGCTGTTTCCAGCGCCTCTCGGCGGACGTCGGCGGAACCACACGATGGTCTTAGATGATGGGATGTAGTCAGGAAAGTTTGACACGCCCCTTTTCCGAGTTGGTAAGAGATGGACACTCCAGCGGCGCATCTCTTCGAGATTGAGTTATTTTCTGTGTAGACGATTTCGCCTTTTTTCTTTTTAAGTTTTGTTTCCCAATGAAGGTGATGAGTTGACAGAGGCGCTGATCTTGAACAGGAACAGATTTTCCGCTGTAATTTTAGAAAACAGGTTTTCGGAAGAAAACGGTTAAAAGCGATACCGAGAAAGCTCTCTTCCGCTCGTATTTTAGCTTTCGCGAGTAAACTTTATTTACTCAGCGTTAAAAGACTATTACCATCTTAATATTATTTAATTTCTTTTGAATGTTCTTGCACACAGCGGTCAAAAAAAGTTATACATATATTAATTCATTAACTGGATCTGTGCGTTTAATTTGCACAGAAATTCCTCAATCTCTGGATTTAGTTATTTTATGTTCTATCTAATGACGCTGAATGAAAAATTATGAAAGCAGAAAAGTGAAATGAAAGATTTTTAATATGAAAACTTTTAATATTTCGTATAAATACGAATACACTCTCTTAGCATAAATATAAGAAAGCGTATTATGGGGACCATTATTGAAAATTATCAGTATTTCGCAAACTATAAATTAACATTGGCATTTAACATCGACATTTAACTATAAGTCGACCATTTCCACAGAAGGCCCAAATCATCAAGAACTGTAGGTGTTCTTTAGACGAGAAACTTTCTGATAATTTCCTAGCCTTCTTTCAATGTTCTTCCAACACTGGAAATTTCGAAAAAGGCCACTAAAAATGATGGCTAGCTAAAGGTTGCCGAAAAAGGCCACCTTTAGCTAGCCATCAGCAATTTAAACTCAAATGATAAAAATCTTTTAAAAAAAATTAAATCTGAAAGCTTTCAGATTTTATATTACGTACAAATAATGGGCTTGTTTTCCATATACAGATACAAACACGTTTCCAGAGCATTTGGGCTAAAAAAATATTTAAAAACAGCATATCTTTAGAATTTACGATAGACAGACTCACACACTGGATATGAAAATGTTTTTTTTTTTTTTTTTTTCGTACAGTGTTGCACTGATCGCTTTGAAATCATTGACTTTGTTAATCAAAAATTCGTTAAAGTTTTACAGAATACGAAATAGACAATAAAACAAATTCCAAATTCGGTCTTCCGGATGCCCATATTTGTGTGGAGGACTACTTTATTCAAAATTTGATGATTCTGGGTACCGTTATTTCTTCACAATGCGAGAAAACTGCATACATTCACGTACATTATTCATTATTTAGTTTCTTTAAATATAGTTGATATTTGGTAGCAACAACTTGAAAAGGGATACAGCCATTCAACGTGAAATTTCGTTTCGGGACTTAAAGCCTTTCTGGGCTAGCAATTTTTAATGTTATCTGCCCATTTGAGCTAATAATTTTTAATGTTATCTCTCATTCGCTATACATTTGAAGTTCTCCACGAAGGCATCCCTACTCTTAAGCAGAGAGCCCACGTGCAATTTATCATGTTCAAATAACCTAACCTAAACAGCTGCCATTTAAGTTAATCTTAACATATTAAAGGCGGGAGTCGTAGTACTACGATTTATCTCGACTGTAGCTTAAAGGCGGGATTGGTAGTACTACGATTTATCTCGAGTGTAGTTTAAAACCGAGAGTCGTAGTACTACGATTTATCTCGACTGTAGCTTAAAGGCGGGAGTCGTAGTACTAAGATTTATCTCGACTGGAGCTTGCGCATCTCGACTGTAGCTCGCGCATTTATCTCGACTGTAGCTAGCGCACGGATAACCACATTGCTCAATCCATGCGCCACTTTACATTTGCATTTAGTATGTTTTGTGGTTTGAAGCTGTTCGGTTGTTCAAATTCTACTTACAGTAAATTTTGAAATTCTTCAATATGGTTTCAGGTTTCACGTTAAAATAAAGATATATATGCAGACGATTTGATGGACATTGAAGAGTCACAACCTGATAATCGAATTCGGCACCACGGACTCCACGATATAAAATTGATCCGCCTGGACGTCTTTCGCTAGACAACAAAAAGCACAAATTAATTCGGATAGAAAATAAAGGCAAAAAGCTATATGCCCAACGAAATTGCGTAGTTTGTGCGGACATAAAAAATGAAAGTTGACTTGCTTCAAAAGCGAGTTTTGCAATGCACCTCTTCACCGTGTCGAGTGTTATCAACATTATCGCACTCATAAAAAATACTAGATTCTTCTCATATATATACTTTAAAATATTTTTTGTAATTAGTGTTTAGTTCTTTTTTAATATTTCTTGTAGTTTTAAGAGTTTAAATAAACTTTTTTAAGTCTAAATTTTTTTTTTATGATTACACAAAATATCGCCCGCTCTAGGACGAAAGACGAGTCGAAGCGGTCGCCGCGTTACCTAGTATACTTTCGTCAAGATCCCCCCGCCTTTAATGCGCTAAGGGGCGAGAAAGAGTCACCTTTCGAAAACGAATTTAAACTAGCTGTTAGATGGCGTGCAAATGTTTATTCTGTACCAAAAAACCGTAACATCACAAGCATTTATTATTATTGTTATAATAACGGTGCAAATATTTACAAAAATCATCAATTAGATATTTAATAAATTACATGAATTAGATGCATTAAGAATTTTATTACGGTACTGAAAATAGAACATATAATTTATTAATATGTGCACTGCGAAAAAAAAAAGTACAGTTCTGTTTATTTCGTTCTACTGGGCCGATTGACGAAATTCAACTTGCGTTTTTCGTGCCTCGAAAGCGAGACATAGGATATATATTAGATTTTAGATTTAGCACTATTCTATAGGTATTTCGACTCACATAGGTATTTACACATAGGTATTTTAACTCAAAATCGAACTTTTTCTGAAATAACGTATCAATTTGTTTTCCATATTTTGATTCTAGAAATGGGCCAATATATAAATTCACGTATATCTTCGGAAGTTTTGAACAAGAACTCTATTTTTTTTTCCTTTCAGATATGCTTAGAAATATATCTACTTTAGACTGATTGTAAAACTTTTATAGGTTATAATTCAAAATTTTTTTTCAAAAAATGAAAAAAATTATTTAAAAATACAAATTTTAAAAATAAATCATAAAAAATGGGTGAATTTTATTTGGAATGAACTTAAATTTCGAAATGTGAAAGGAAGAATCAAACAAGCTTAATAAAAAAAGAGAGTTTAATAAATATATACCAAATTCAATTAGCATTGAGGGACTAAAATTTTGAGAGCTAATCTTGTTAAAACTACTCGTGCGATTTTTACAAAACGTGGCAGTTTGGCATAATTTAAGTCGCATACATAATTAATTAAAAAATTTGCATGTCATTTCAGAAAAAATCCGATTTCATGTCAAAATACCTACATTAGGACAATGCTATATATAAATCTAATACATATGCTAAATCGCGCTTTCAAGGCATGAAAACCGCAAGTTAAATTTCGTCAATCGTCCCAGTAGAACGGAAAATATAGAACTGTCATCCCTTTTTTTTTGGAGCAGTTTATTATTGTGTAAAATAGTTTAACTTATTTAGTGTTTGGGAATTTTAATCTGAAAGTAAATTAAAAGTTTTATGCCACAATGAATGACAAAAACCTTGAGAACTGTCAATTTATCAGACTGTGAGGATGATAAATCAAAAATTTATGCCGCATTGGGATGGCAATGTTTACCGGACACATGGAATTTTGGATGACTTGAAAAAAGCTTCCAAGAATGTTGAATATTTTTTGCATATTTCCGTGCTTAAATTTCTATACTTTATGAAATCGATCATAAAACAAATTCCAAATTTCAAATTTTAGATTTCAGATGCCCATATTCGCTGTAGGATTACGTCATTCAAAATTGGATGGCTCTAGGTACCGTTGTTTTATCACAATGCGAGAAATATACATACATTTATGCAGATTTTTTATTATTTAATTTCTTCAAATACAATGCAGGACTCTAACATTTTGTGGCAACACTTTGAAAAGTGAACCGACATTTATAGGAGTCCGACGCAAAATCCCAAAACGAAAGTAATAGTCCATCGGGGACTCAAATTCTTTGGACTAATAAAAATAAAAAATCTGATGTGTACACCACAAGACTTCCTTGTACGGAATATTAAATTATACTCATTTTTTCTTGCATTTCATTTAAACGTATTGGATTGAATTAAATCTACTTCGCCGACAGCGCATAAACCACAATAGAATAAATGTATTCTTTAAAATTCACTCTATTTGTTTACCATAGTGACAGTCTGGCACTAGGTTCACTTAACAGCATTATTCACTTAACAGTATTATTCACTTAACAGTATTAACAGTATTATATTTCGTTCATATTAAAACTCAGAATGCATATAAATTTATATCATTTGAAGAATTATCTAATCGTTGCCACACGCTGTATTCAAATACTATAATGAATCTAGATTGATGTATAAAAAAAATTAAGCAAACAAAACAAAAAGGAAACAGTTTTTCACAGATAATTGAGTATTTCTCATTCAATTAATTCAGTTCTCACTTCGCGACAAGGCAAAAATACACAAAAACTCAAAATATATGTATTAAAAATTACGAAGTAAATCTGAAACACCTATTTCCTCGAAAAAATTCCAGAAAGGATTAAGCATGATTTAATTGGCAATAATAAATGTAGGCGTTATCTTTGTTGTTGCGAAGCTAAGTCTCTCTAGATTGGCAACAAATTCACTAGTCTACTGTTTCAAATGTAAACAATCAATGGCCGCCGTAAAAAAAAAGGCTTAGCGGCACTTAAACAACTTTAAAATTGTTGATAATTCTAAACATATTGCACACAGATTTACTAAATGCATAAAAACCTTAACAGGAGGATAAAAACAACATAA